AAATTGTTAATAAACAAGTAACATAAAATACCAAAAATATTTACAACAACAAGGCAGATAATTAAAAAAAAATCATGGGACAATATACGAAAGTTATATACTTGCTTATTATAATCTATACATTATATTAGTATAGATTCTACTTATACTAATACGAGTATCATTCTCTGTTTTGTCAAATTTTCTGGTTAGCTGGAAGAGAATGCCACATTGCATTAAGCTCGCCTGTTGTACCACTGTTTTTTATGTGTGCAATAAAGATTTTAAATAAATAAATAAATATCATAGAGCTGAAGAGTTTGTATGTTGAACATGCTAATGTAAGGAACTGCTGCAATCCTGTTCCTATTTGAGAAATTATTTGTGTTGAATAGTCCATTTATCGACAAAGGTTATAACCGTCTTGTTACAACCAATAAAAGCAGAGCATCAGTGACAAATGTTGCGAAGACGGAAAAAGACATTAAAAACTCATCAGTTTTATGAAAATTGGAGGAGCAGAGAAGTGTCTTTAGTAACCAATCAGTTTTCATTCTTTCCACATCTCCTCTCCACTCAGTTTCGATGCAAATAAATCGCTTGGAAAAGAGAGAAATCTCATTTTTCTACAGAATTTGACAAGGGCGGCGGCGCAGAGCGGTGCGGAGTGTGTTTTCCTTTCACAGACAGCAATAGACTAACAGCTGAGAGTTACGCATCGCACAGAACACATTACTCTCTTCTCCGCTCCGCTTTGGTAGTAATAAAATTAATGTTCCTTCGATATAGAGCAACAACCACGAGCTGTCAAACGAAACCAATTTTGCGTGTCACTGAAGTGTCCGTGTCAGGATTATTTCACTGTTTTGTACAATAAATCAATCACTGAAGCACTTTCTCATAAACATCCACGTTACGTAAAATCTGAAAATATATCAGAATTCAAATTTTCAGCGTGACACTGCGTACCTGCTGAACTGTCAAATAGTTGCAAAAAATGGTTCTGTTTGTTGTGGCAGCGACAGCATTACTCATCTAGTTTTATCACANGTATCACACAGTGTTGCTAGTAGTGACATCTCGCTCACTCAGTTCTTTGTTGCTCTATTCCGCTAGGTATATTAACTTAATGAAATAGCCTGCCAGCTTCGCCGCACACCTCTCGTCTCCGCTCCGCTCCGCTGGTGAAAACTTGGCCTTACTTTTGGCTCGGACCAAGCTCGGTTACGTTTGCTTTCGTCACGCGTTCGTTGGCCGCGATGCGCGTGAGCAGGTTTCACGGGTTCGAGATGTGGAGCATTGGGTTATGTTAAAAGAATAAATGTTAAATAAATAAATACTAACAAATTCTTGGATATTATTCACCGCCATCCAGTCCCAAACTAAGCAAAGATTGTTACTATGGGTACCTGACAACGAATAAAATACGTACTCATATTACATATTATTATTGCATCAGTGATAACAATACATCAGAAATTCAGTTAAGTAGCATAACACTGTGAAAAATAAGAGTATTTTCGATCTTCAAATAAAACAAATTATTTTATTATCTACTTCCACAAACATTATGAATCAGGCATAATCTTTTGACATACTTATACAGACTGGAAATCCCGTTGACAGTGTCGTCACGTTGGTATAAAATAATGCAGGAAAAACTGACTATAGTAGCAAACTTTTCCCGAGTGTCTTGTTTTATTTCAAATTCTTTAATGTTCTATATTGGTATACAAAGGTATATTTCGTCAACTCAAAGGTAAAAAAGCACTAAGTAAGTAAGGTAATGTGTAAAACTGAATTTTTAATAATTTGTAAGACGGGCACATCAGAAATACAAACAATTTTTATGTAGAGTCACATAAAAAAATTAAGCCTCCCCATTCCAAGATGAGGGGGGGCCACATATGGGGGCATTTTGTCGATAAAATTGACATCACAACATCGCCTTAAATTATCGCTAGCCCTATCCCAATATAGATTTAACATAAATAACAGATTATCTAATTTAGCAGAGGCAAACGGAGTTACGGCGTGTACGTCTATTGTACTCTCTTCTCCAAATATTGAGAGAAGAGAAACTTCACCACAGTGACACCATGACTTGTGTATTCGGTGTTCCCACGACGTCCTATCTACACACGAGATGAACCTATACCGTTTGACATAAAGCGTGTGGCACACTGCCAGTCAAAAGCGAAAAATATCCAACCAATAGAAACTAACTACCTAAATAATGTTCTAAGTTTTTTTAGATTTATCTATTTTTATTACCTTTTTTTTATTTATTTATATTTACTGAACAAAATAACCAAACTTTGCTGAAATAGGCAAATGTTTATCAAGTATTTTTTATGAATATAGGGTAAAGGTTTGATGAATACTTACTTGAGTTATGCAATTATACGACAATGATAAAATAAATCTGCCTTGTTAAAAGGGCGCACGCATCTAACATGTTTTTTCGCATATGAGTTAAACTCAAGGATAGGGTACAAATACTTAACCATTTGAAACTTTTTAACACCGTTTCGATTTGTTGTCACATGCGCCTTTTTTATCTATCGGGGGCAGAGATAGAAGCGGCACTATTCCCACGTCTCGTTCCCACCGCTGCAACTCCTGTGTAGCCAGGATCTACAGCTTGACCGCCATAATAACCCAACCAATGAAGGTCAACTTTGTCCCAAGGCAGAGATAGAGGCGGTGAAAACGATGTCCACACATAAGAGTCACGTCTCTAGCATGAGCAAAATGGGCATACGCCCATAGCTTCGCATCGCCAATAGCTTTTGCAAGACGCGAACCTTACATCATAGTATGACTGTACGCTACTAAACAAAGGTGACGACCCGGACTGCGTTGTATTTTACAGGTTTCTTTGTTTATGACCGACTGACGAGGCATGCCGACGGTCACATAAAGATGTTTAACCACAATCTGCGATAAGAGTAAGATAAAGAACACATAAAAACACTAGCCAATGCCCGCGACTTCGCCCATAGTCAGAGTTTTATGTCGCAATCAAAAACACTCGAAAAATATCGATAATATGCATTTTTCTATTTCCATATTGCGTTAAACGTATTTTTTTTCTTATTACTTACTTACCTTTTTAAAATGTCTTTTAGTTAGGTTGTAACTACTCTAGTGGTTCCCATTAACAAACAAACAAACTCTTCATAGTAATGTATAGATTTAGTTTTGTTATCTAAATATACATTATATGTATAACTCAAAGATGTCCGACTGACTGACTGACATAGTCATCTATCAACGCACAGCCCAAACCACTGGACGGATCGACTGTTTGGAATGCAGGTAGATGTTATGACGTAGGCATCCGCTAAGAAAGGATTTTACGAAACTCCACCCCTAAGGGGGTATCACAGGATCCACGCGTACGAAGTCGCGGGCGGCTGCTAGTTAATATAAGAATTCGCTAATGCGAATGTGATCTAGTACCTACATACGAGTATCTCAAACGGACGACACCGACACTAAACGTGCCTCACAAGTGATCGTCACTAGTTACACAAGCAATTGAAAGTGAATCGATGTTCGTTAACTTAACAATCGATTATTATTTTTCGCCGATACATCGTAGAAAGGAGGTCGAGTCGTTAATCAAATAGATGGTCTCGTGATTACTATCGAATCAATCGAGATAATGACCGTTTTAAGGAGGAAGTGTTTCGAGTTACGAGTAAGTAGGTATCAGGATCATAGGCAACATTTCTTTTTGTATTTGATTTAACATGGTTAAACTAATTATGTAAATTTAATTTAACTCTTAGCATGCATTGTTCTGATAAATCTATAAAGCGAAAAACCAGTCACTGATTAAACACGAAATCTCAGAAACTATAACACCTACCTAAAAACATACAGACAGAGAGAACGGTTTTTAAGAAATTTCACCCCTAAGGGGGTAAAACGGAGGTCATTTAACTCCACGCGTACGAAATCGCGGGCGGCCGCTAGTAGGAAAATAGAAACAATTATTAACCGAATTATTAGCGAAAAAGGAAGTTCTTTTTATGCTCTATTTGGTACGCCAACCACAATATTATCAGGTCAGTGTAAGTTTAAGTTTGAGTACCTATTTTAAAAGGAAAATGCATTGAATCAGAATGGTGTAATCTTTAGAAGCTTTAAAATTTCAAATCCTATAAATAATTCAATTAATAAACGTCATCTCATTTTATTATCTGTCTCAGTGCACTTTTTGCGGCAGGTGCGCACGCGCTCATTGCGTAATAACGTTAATTTGACAGCTGTCAAATGCGGCCCAAGACGGAAAACTATTACTGCAGTGCAGTAATTACGGTAGATATTGACTGTCATGCTCGCTCATAAATAATAATAATGCTGATTGATAATAAAGTTATTGATTATTGTCCAAGGCATCTATATAGGTCGCAAATTATTTTATTTATGATTATTTTATCACCTGCATAACCTTCTTACATTGACCTACTCAAAGGGTTACGAAATAATCATTAGGACCGTCAAAATCTGTCAAATTGACATTGACAGTGATCGATCGCACTGAAACCTAAAACAACTTGGTTAATAATTATTAGACCAGTCCAATGTATTACCAAGATACACATCAGCCTTCGCAGAAAGATTACTGGGTACCCTATGATGACAAGTAATTTATTTTGGCTTCGAAATGAGAGCAATAATCGATTCATAGTCAAAAATTAACCTTAATTAACCACGAAAGACCTGCATGTTCTTATTAGTTGTTATTTTGATAATAGCGCCTTTATGTCAATGTCATATCTAGGATGGAAAGTCGAATAGGTGGAAACGATAAGTGATGTCACTCGATCATTTCTAAACTGTAAGATAATAAACAAGATATTGAAAAACTGGTTACTGATTCTGAAAGTGCTTAATGAGCTCTATTACGGTATCAATAATAAGTTATAGATTGAACTAGATCTATCCGAAAATACATAGTGTCTTAAAAACGACTTGCATAAGGATAAGATGAATTAATTCGAACACACCTGGTCAACTCGCAGTTTCCTGCTCGCTTCGACGACACCCTCCATCCTTTGGTTCTGTAACAAAACAACATGTAAATTAAATATTATTTATTGAAAAAATTGTGGCGTTAAGAGTCGCTTCTTCATCTAAGTAACTTAAAAAAAATCGAACTGCTTATGGCGTGAATCAGACCCACGACCTTTCGCTTGCCGGGCGAAAGCTTTTCCATCTGATCTACTTAGACACTGGATGAACTGGATGAATTAAATATTATTATTAGGACAATTCAACACAAAATACTCATCCCAAAAAGGAATATTAATCCACGTTTGGAATTATCGAGTCATCCAGTGCTTTTCTTTTTCAGAAATCTCTAAAAACATATACCTAACTCTACCTAGAATACATATTGTAATCCCGTGACATGTCACATTGAAACAATGTCTTTTCTATTCCTAACTACCTTAATGTATTTCATTAATTCTTTTAAAGATCGAATAGATAACAATTATTTTAATTATAATCTTTTAGAAACTTTGCATATTCTTGTCCGTCAAACTTGAAGTTTATGGGCCTTGAGCAAAGGATACTATGGAATCAAGTAATGGACTTCCTAAGAACACAAAAAGAAGCTCGGTACTTCAAACGAGTACTGCGGAAAGCAATTTAAGTCCGAGTGCGTGCGCGCATCCGCTGCCTGCGTTGTTGCAATTACAACTTTCTGCGGGCGAGATAAAGCACACTATGGACATAAACTTGATAGTGCAGCTGGAATGTCGATATTTTTCCTATCGACAAATTATTTTCATTGACATTGAATAGGTCAATACGTCAATGTAAAAAGTATACCGTACCGCTTGCAACTGGTCACTCTGGAGGTCTTCTAAGAGTGACCAGTAAGTAGTCCAACAAATACTAATGAGCTACTCGTAGTAAGTATGATAATAAATGACCGTTTACTTTTTTAGAATCGAATCTATAGTTCGAATTAGCTTAATACATTTCGATCTCCTGCCCGCCTGCCAAGCGTGAAGATTATGGCAAAACCCTCCACTACAGTGGAGGAGGCTCATAGTCCAGCAGTGGACTGTAAAGGGCTGTTGATGATGATGATGATACATTTTGAATCAAACGACACATACTCATAATATGTAAGACAAAAATTGTCTAAGTTAATCGCGACATCTTCATAATGGAGTGGTAGTGGAAGTGGCACAAAATAACATTTTGACTGTGACATCATTATTATAAACTTAACCAGGCAGTGGTGCATTAGACTCCACATCAATTAATCTTTATGTTGTAAAGAAACGAATTTCAAGTCCAATGAAAATATTATTTTCGTAAATAAATGTCCGTGTGACTGTCGATAATGACCGCAGCACTAGGTCTAATAGAGGCTGGCTGTACGACAATGCAAAATCACTCTTATCTCAAACCACTCAAGATTTACTATTTTTGAAAGCAGCGTAAAGGATGGAAAGCTCATGACTAATGATTTAGTGTCAGGATATCGCTCATCACAATCATGTGAAGACGCATCAGGGATAATGTCCACTGTAACTAGGGTTGCCAGGTCCAAAAACACAAAAGCCGGACTCTGTGCTTCATTTGGCCGAACATTTTACCCTAAAAGCCGGACATGCGACTCACGTGTGAGTCAACTAGTGAGCTCACGAGTGAGTACTATCATCATCGGTTGCCTAACGTCCTGATGCATGCGTGCCTTATTCTGTGGCTCGACTTTCGCCTGGCGCGGCAGCCAAATAAAAAGCCTAACAAAAGCCGGACAGGCCGGACATCGGTTATTTTGGCCGGACACGCAATCAAAAAGCCTAACTATGTCCGGCTTTATCCGGACGCCTGGCAACCCTAACTGTAACTCTACAACACGTTTCGCATGTTATGAAATGAAGAATGCAAGAATAAAGCTCAGTTAAATGAGTTAAACTGACGTACCATCCAGAAACTGACCATGTGTGTAAAATCTTCAGTAGAAATTCATTGTGCACTGTCAGTTTTGGATATAAAACAAAACTGAGAGTGCACAATGAATTTCTACTGAAGATTTTACACACATGGTCAGTTTCTGGATGGTACGTCAGTTTAACTCATTTAACTGAGTTTAACGGACTGTGAATGTCCAGATTTAAAATAAAAAGCACCATTAATATCTATTCAATCTATTTTGATTGCGGAATTTATCAACACACTGTAAACGGATAATGCGATAAAAAAGATTAACAATTTCAGTCAATGGCATTTCGCCGCTGGACAAAAGTTTTGGCACTAAAATCAACGAAAAACGATCTCTAGCTTTTTTATCCAGTCACTCACTGCCAGCTTCTTCTTGAAGTATTTTTTCACAGGAACTATTATGAAAGTTTTTTTTTTATGCATAACAAGTCAGGTATTTGACCACAATCGCACCTGATGTTAAGTGGGTTGCAGTCTAGGAGTATTCGTAAGTAAAATATACCTACGATTTACCAAAATAATAATGTCTCCACTTTTAAACACCTTTTTTAGTATTTAATGCTCTATTACTTTCGACGAAAACTCAATTTATCATAGATGAAACAAAAAAAAATGTGCATACTAAGGTTTTAGATATAAGTTAAAGCTTGAAATACAGGTTGTTATAATCTGATTGTTTCTCCATACAAATTCATGTATGCAACAGCTAATTGTAAGTATGAGGAAATGATCAATCGAAATAATATGACCGTATCAAGATTTCGTCACGTGCGGAACCGAGTAAAGGTATTATTTTCACTTAACATTATACAATAACCAGCGTATTATGTATCACCCCGATTGGTAATTAGTGCATGAAACTAAATAAACCAAGTCTCAGACGAAAATTTTGTAGTGTGTTCATCTTTAACCTCGAATTTACCAACAACAAGTAATTTCAAAACGTCTCTATTTGTGCTTAGTGGTGACTTTTAGTACATGATCCGGCGAAATTCGTACCGGCAGTAAAATTCCTCTTTGAAAATATTCTATTGCCTTATTTATCAGGCAGGAATAATGTAGAATTCTAAAGGTGAAAGAAATTTTTGCAATCGGTCCAGTAGTTTCGGAGCCTATTCAACACAAACAATCAAATCTTTCCTCTTTATAATTTTGGTGTAAGTAAGTAGGTAGATGTAGATAGATTAAAATATGAATTTCTATGGATTAAAAGATATTCAACGAGCGATCTTTATAACGAGACGGGTAGGTACTCCTTACAATTAGTGCGATTCGTATGTAAATTAATTTCAAAAGTAAATACCTATTAAAAGTTTAAAAAACTAAAACCACGCTTTTCATTACTGCACTAAAAGGCCAAACATTTCGATGAGTTTCTTCTGCCGTTTCGTTTAGGAGTTTCTAGGGCCACCTCTTGAATTCATCATCAGGACCCTGGGCATCATCTAGCACTAAAGTACCCACTCGAAAAGACAAATCCAATGAACCCAAAATCGATGCGATCCCGCTGTTTCGTTTAGGAATTCCTAGTCCCATCATCAGACCAGCTCTATGGTACCATAATATTGTATTGTCATCTAATCTACATATAATTGCCAAGTTTCATGATGATACAAGAATTAGAAGTGCGTGTAATTCAGATTCTAAGATTCCATTACAGTTGTTACATACCACACGACGACCTAATAAAAGCGTGTTAATATATTGCTTTCGCACTAATAAACCTGTCTTCCTTCAAATTCATGTTGATTCACTATTTCTGTTAAAAGAAAATTACAAGAATAATGCTATCGGAAATTGAATAAGTTTTAGTGTGAAATACATAGTTTCATTTGAAATGGGTTCGACTCGGACTGATTGGAAAGTAATTCCAGTGCAAATGTTATAGGCACTTCACATGCAAGAATTAGACCTGGTTAATGATCCAATCAAGGTTTCTGCATTAAAGCAACCTGTATCATTGTACAGTCAGCGTCAAATAGTTCGTGGCATCCAAAGTGACCAAAAAAAACACAACCTTATTCGAATTTTAACAAAGACGTTGCGAACCTGCGTACCCACTTTGGGCGTCACGAACCATTTGACACTGGCTGCAATTTAACAAAGCAATCGAGAAACAATTTATAATGTTTATGGAATAAAAATAGAAGTTGTACCTATTAGAAGAATCAAGGAACATAAACCAGTATATTTTCCACAAACAGCACGCGTACATGAATAAAGTAATAAATGAGTGATTAACTATCACAAGCTACGACGGCGGTACTTTAAACTTAACACTGAAGCAACTTATGTGGTTGTGTTAGGAACTATTTTGCAACAAAAAACTATGATTTAATGTACTGGGGACTAGAGAAGCGAGCCATTGTGTGGTGCCGGCCGACACATTATCATAATGCATGCAATGATCAGTACAAGTAATGGTTTAACCACCCACGGTGAAAACTATTAATAAAATAAACTAAGTTTTGCTAAGAATCCCAACTATAATATTATAAATGCGAAAGTAACTCTGTCTGTCTGTCTGTCTGTCTGTCTGTCTGTCTGTTACGCTTTCCCGCTTAAACCTCGCAACCGATTTTGATGAAATTTGGCATAGAGATAGTTTGAGTCCCGGGAAAGAACATAGGATAGTTTTTATCCCGGTTTTTGAAACAGGGACGCGCGCGATAAAGTTTTTCTGTGACAGACAAAATTCCACGCGGGCGAAGCCGCGGGCGGAAAGCTAGTAAAATATAAACTTTATACTTACTTACTATTTAAAACTAACACTCATGTAATCATTTATTTTTCGCTCAAAAAGAATGAAACTTACAACTTGTATGTGCCCGGAGAAAAAGCTTTAACGCGATGCAATAGTGGATAGCGACATCTGTTGATGGTAATTAACAATCAAAATATAATTACATATTACATACGTTGTATTTGACTATACTGTCAAATGACATGACTTTGTTGCGGCATCCTATGTTGTTGAGAAATTGCTACATAAACATTTCTAAATGAATCTTGAAAATCCAAAAACAAACTCCCACACTTTTCCTTAGTTTTTAAGTTATGCACGTTGATTCAAAAGAGTAAAACTCAATAATAATA